AAAATGTCACCAATGGCTTTAGGTCTGCTTTGATGTTTGTTTGTTTTTTAAGCGGCTGTAGTCAGGACTTTGTATTTTGAGGCCTATGTTTTTTCATAAATAAGTCCCTTGATATTCATATTTTCTCTTCTCAATAACAAAAATAGCAGTAATTTAGTATTATCGGCTAAGAAACGACTCTGTCCACCATTGTACTAGGCATTATCTCATATCTCATACATATATTATCTCATTGTTGTGTAATTCTTAAAATACTCCTACCAGGAGGTATTATTTTTTCCAGTTTACAAAAGAAGAAGCTTGAGCCTGCCTGAGGTCACAGAGCTGGTGGGCAGCACTTACGGTCCCACTGACACTGTCCCGATTTGTATTTCCAGAGGACTGACTGCTCCCAGCTGTGCCACACGCCTGCCTCAGTCTACTCAGGGGAGCACCACATCGGCCTCCCCTTCCAAATACTCTCTGAGGATGTCAGGAAAGGCTTGGAAACTGGCTTCTTGCTTTTCACTTCAGGGGCTCCAAGCCCAACACAGGACCTTCTCACCGTGTCCTCCCAGAGGCGATACCAGAGAAAAGAGGAAAAAAAAAGGCGGGGGGGCCTTCCATTCTGGGGTTTATCCCTGTGTGCAACATCCAGGTGCTTCTCTTCCTTAAGCCCAGGTGAGCCCCAGAGGCAGAGACACCTGGAGAGAGCTCAGGAGGGGAACAGGGCAGCAGGGGGGGCAGAAGGGGGGCTGGGAAGAAGCTGAAGTTTCATAGCCACCGTCCAGAACACAGCCAGAGCTGGGAGGCAGAACACAGGGCAAGAGGGGCCAGGCTGCAGCAGGCACCGGCCCCGCCCAGCCGGGCGGGAGGGGTCTGCTCCACCCAGGGACTCAGGAGAGGGCACAGAGAGGTCCGAATAGGAGCAGGGGGAGCAGGAAAGGAAAGGAGTTCTACACAGGGCCATGTGTGAAATTTGGGGGCTCACCCAATCTGCCCTCTAAGGGGCCAGTGCTGACCCATGCCAGCAGGTCCCTAGGGCTGCAGATGCCAAGTGCGGACCCCAAACAGGCTGCCTGTTTACTGACACAACTCCTAGCTGAGGAGTCAGTGGGATCTGCAGTGCCCAGGGTGAGCTCCAAGAGCTGCGTCACCACGCGATGGCCCACCCCACCCAGATTTATGGGATCCAGTCATGGGAAACGGGCCCCTCCCCGTCCTATGAAGGCCTAAATAGGAAGGGACACTTCCTGTCAGCAATGCCCAAGCCCTCCAGGTCCAGGGACCCCCACTGAGGTGCAGGGGGAGGTGGGCTCACAAGGACCGGCCACAGTCATCCTCTCTCAGCACAGCATGGGCTCATTTGACCACGGACTGAACCAACATGTGACTCCCTAACCTCGGGGCAGCTCTGGTGCCGGGTGGGGCCTGGCTCCTCCACCACCAGGCCCCTCTGTCACTCGCTGATGGATGCCTTCTCAGAGCAGGCACCTTGGATATCCTGAGGATACTGAGGGGGGCTCTGTCCTTGCCTCTGGGGCCCAGGGAGGAAAGCTGAGCACCACCCAGACAGCTGGAGTATGGCAGGGGGCTGCCCACTCTGCCTGCTCCCTGGGCTTCCTCTCCAAAGGACACGTCAAGAAGATGTTCTAGTCTTGGGAGCTCTGGGGAGAAACACGCGTGAAGCAGAACCTTCCAGCCTTTCCAGACGCACTCACTCTCGGCACTTACTTTTACGGAGACGCAGCACGGCCTGGTGCTGAAATGTTTGGGCTCAGTAGCCACACCTGGGTTCGAACCTGCTTTTACAACTTCCTAGTGGTCAAGTGGTGTGGTCCTGAGCAAATAACAGCTCTAAACTGCTAACTGCCAGGGTGTAAAATGGGTGATAACACCCTCCAGGGTTGTGAGATAGAAGAGCTACTGCCTGTAAAGCACCTGGCACAGAGCCCAGCACACGAGTAACGGTAGCCATGCCTACTATCGCTCCATCCCTCAGCAGGGCGCAGTGGGCCCATCAATGCTTACATTAGTGGCGAGTCCAAAGGAATACTTCTCTGAAAATTTCACCTCTCACATCATCTCATGGACCCAAATCACTGTGCCATGCAGGCATCGGCAAGATTTCTCTAATGGGAGCCAGACCTACACTTCCTCCTCCCCAGCCTGCACCCTCACCTTGCCCAGGTTAACAGCGGGAGGGCCGGATCTCAGCACAACCTTGGCTCAGCTGGGCACCACTCCAGCCCTGGCAGCTCACAGAAGGCTAGCGGTTAGACTGAGTTTTGTCGCGGGCGGATGGAGGGTGGATAGTAAGAAGGCCCCAAACTCCATGACTCACCAGGAGCTGGACCGGAACTGCAGGCGATCTGTCTGGCTGATTCTGGCAGCAAGTACCTGATGCCTTTGGGAAGGAACGCCTCCCCTCCTTGTCTTGTAGACAGCAGCCTGTACCCACAGGAAGGGTTCCCAAGGGCTCCTCACTCCTCCACCTGGACACCTGATTCCTGAGGCTCCCAGTTCCCCTCTTTCCAATCCGTATCTCATTCCTCTGCTCAGAAACCCTCAGGGGTTCTCCATGGGTCCCCACTGGCAGCTGGCAAGCTGTTCCCTTGATTTGGCTTCCCAGAGTGAAAGAAGAATTTCTCCCAGCCCACTCAGGGACACTCCACCCCAGCCCATAATCCTCACAACAGCCCAGCCCACCTTCCTGGTCTCGCCCTCTCTGCTCCCCTCCCTGCCCCCAAAATGTTTGGTCCCACCCAGCCTGCCTCCAAAGAGCATCAGTGACCCTTTGCCCTTCCACCCTAGTTTCTCCAACATTTTCTTTTCTCTAAGGATGCATCCTAACATCTTCTGTATCGTCCCTCTTCCCCAAGTACTTGGCTCAGCGTTGATCAGACAGTGCTAGAAAAATGCATCGATACTGCAATTTACAAAGAGGTCTTCTAACATGTGCTTTGTGGGTCCCTCCACAGAGGGGAAGAAAAGATGGATTCTGCCATCCCACACCAAGAAGACACTGCTGCCCAGCTGCCCCACCACCCACAGGGAAGCTGTGGCACTCCCCCCCCCTCAGCCCACAGGACTTTCCTTTTCTGGGGGTCAAGGAAGCCACCCACAGGCACCCCCTCCCCAGTGTAACTTTCACCCCAGCAGCCCCGCCAAACCCAACCCCAACCCCATATTGCAGGAGTACTTCGTGGGCCATCCAGATCTTGGAGCTGCGACCACCAAATTCAGCAGGTCCAGGGGGCTAAGGAGGGTATCTGGTCCAGAGGGGGAGCATTCTGGGCAGAGGGTACAGTGATGTTCAGGGGCCAGACCTACAATAGTTCCGCCCTCTTCTTGCTCAACTCCTGGGGTGGAGACCCGGCCATCCCCACCCCCAACTTCCTCCAGGCCCATACCTAGGCTTCTGGGGTGATTAATGCAATGCTACTGGGAAGGGGCCCCTCTGAGGCTGTGGTAGCTAGGGGCAAGGACGGCCGGGAGGAGACCAGGAGGCAGAAGGGGCACTCAAGGCGTCCTCCCTGCCTGGGCCTCTCACCAGGCATTTCCCCCGCTCCGTCCAAAGCTCCGCGGGTGGGGGGGTGGGGTGGAGGAGGCCGAGTCAGCACTCTGGCCGAGACTCTCCCAGCGCCTGGCTTTAAAATGGGCTCCGAGGCTCTTGGAACGGCCACCCTTCCGCACTCCTCCCGGCTGCCTGCCGCACTTCTGAGTTCCCCGCAGAGGAGCACGACTCCGGTAGGAGGGCAGGGAGGCAGGGGACAGCCTGGACCTGCTGTGGGGAGGGAGTCACTGCCTGGACTCCAGGTGGTCCGGAGTCCAGCAGGGGGTTCTGGTTGATGTGACTATGGGTCACCCCAGCCGCACCTCTCCCATCAGCACAATCAGGGCAGATACGTGTCTTGGTCTCTTACGTCACGGCAGGCGGGCCAACCAAGTGAGCACTGGCCACGACCAGAGGCCCCAGGTCCTCCAGGGGGCTGTCTGCGCTTGGCATAAAACTACAAACGCTGCACGGACTGACCCCTTTCACTCACCCCAGCCCCAAATGAAATACAAAGCAAGACCAAGCTGGGCCCAGCTCTGGCTAGAATACCCTCCAGGGCTATTCCAGCTTTGACTCCAAAGAGACCGCCCAGGAAAAAGATCTGTCCCTGAGCTCTCAGCTTCTGGGTGAGGGGTCTGTCTGTCCCCACGCTTCACTGTCACCCTTTGAAAGAGCAGCAGAAAGAGAAGGCACAGCTCCGGTTTTTGTTTTCCGTTGGTTGGGTTTTCGCATCTTTAGTAGCTCTTTTGCCGCCCAAGATCTGTCCACTCTGGAGGGGTGCCAGTTTGCTCAGAGCCACCCACACAACAGCACACACGCACACACAGGGTGGCCAGCCTGTCGGTGCATCCTGGTGGCACAAAACTGCCCCACAGAACTCCGTTCAAGCGGTGCGGATGCCGCATGCCACAAGCCGTCCTTTTAGACCAAGTGTGGAAAAGAACATACAAACACCCTCAGATGCCAGGAAGGGCAAACAAGTCCTTACGAATAATTCGTAAACAGTAATAACCCATCAGTCCTGGGGCAAAAGGAAGAGGACCGGCCGGGAGCCTCGTGGACGGAGCCTCTGGTTTCCCGGGACGCGCACGCAGGTCCCCGGCCGAGGGCAGGGCCGGCGCCGGGTGGTCCGGGGAGGGGGGGGCGCGGGGGTCCTCCGAGCCCGCCCTCTCCCTGCGGGGAGGCTGGAGACCCCCGAGCTCCCCTCCCCCGCCGCCCGTCACATCTGGTTCCACTCAGGTCCTCCCCCACCCCATGCGCTCTCCTCGTCCCCTCTCCCCCTCCTCGCTTTCAGAAAAGCGGAGACGATTTTTAAAAACCCAGTCACACACACGCACATACGCACACGAGCTCCTGGCCAAAAAAATAAAAATAAAAAAAGGAGGGAAAAGTCGAGGGAGGCCCGCTCCCCGGCGCTCCCCCCGCCCGGCCCCCGAGGTTGGCCAGCTTGGCAGCGCCTTACCCGGCAGGGCGGCGGCGGCGTCCCCAGGGGCGCCGGGGCGGCCGAGGGGCAGAACCCCGAGGAGCAGGACGCAGCGCAGCAGGTGACGCGGCCAGGGCGCGGGGGCCGGCCGGCGGGGCCCCATGCTCGCGGCGCGGAGCCCGGGCAGCCGGGGGCGGAGGGCGCGCGGGCGCGGCGTGTGGAGGCGGCCCCCGCGCTGGGCTGTGCTGGCCGCCCGCGAGGGGCTCGCGTCTTCCTCAGGGTCCGGGCGAAGTGATGCCTCCCGGGGAGAGGAGGGGAGGAGGCAGGCCGGGCGGAGGGGCGGAGGGAGGAGCGCGGCACCCGGGAGGGGAGGAGGGTTTGAGGAGCAGAGGGAAGGGAGGCGGGCCGCGTGGGAGGGGAGGGGATGGGAGGGGAGGGGAGGCGCGGGCCGGGCCGGAGCGCGCGCCGAGGGCGGGGAGAAGGGGGAGGGCGCCGAAGACCCCTGCGTGCGCGCTGGCCCTCGCCCTCCGTTTCCCTCTCTCCCCGCCTCGGTCCGGGCTGCAGCCCCAGACGGTGCGTCACAACTCCCCGACCCAAGCGGGCGGGGAAGCCGCTGCAAAACTTTCCGCAAACTTCACGGCGCGGCGGGACGTGGGCTGAGAGGCCCGGCTGGGCAGGGGCGGGGGCGCACGGTAGACCTCGGCGGCCAGACCCGGGCCGCGGGCGCCCGCCCTGGCCCGCCTCTTTTTGGCGTCGCTCCAGCCGCCGAGCATCCGCTACCTCCTCGCTTAGGGACCCGACCCCTCCCGGGTCTGGTGGGGAAGGGGCGGAGCCCGGGGCTCACCAAGGGGCGAAGACGACTGGGGGAGGGGAGGCAGGGCCCAGGTGCTGTGTGCGGAGCGCCAACAGTTGCACCTCGTCTTTTAGCATTTGCGTGACCCGTTGTCACAGTTACTGGCTCACAGGGGTGTAGCGCCTTTGCTAGCTGGGGCGCGTATCCAGAAACCTAGGGAAAATCTGTCCCAGAAGCCACACATCATCACTCTCACCAGCAACCCGACTGCTGGCTGGTTGCAAAGGCCCAAATGGAAATTTCATAAAAGGCAAGACAATCCAGAGTTATTCCGTATTATGCAATAGGTCACTGCGGCTCAGAGCACTGCGCTGGGAGTCAGGATGTTGGGAGTCCAGCCCTACCTCTACCTCTGATTTCCTGGGCGACCTCGGAAAAGTCGCTTGGGCTCTCTGTGCTCAGAGCCAGACTGAGACCTTTACTGAAGCTAAATGCAGAGAAGACTGACCAGGAGTAATCAAAAACACTATGAAACTGCTAACTTTTGTTTCCTGTGCTGTCCACCCTGGTGCTATTTTTGGAAATACCAAATTCAGAATCTTTTTCTCCTTTTCTACTACCCTTCCCTCAGGTTAATCTTTCTGAATCTCTGCAATGAGGTGTGGGGCCAAAGATGCTAACTTAGCTCTTTCCATCTCGGCTGGGCTAACATTCTTGGCAATTATTAGTACGGTGCCTGCAGGGCCCCAACATGAGCACCCACTTAAATCCCCTACAGTCCCCTGGAAAGATTCCCACCATCCACACTTTGGCCCTAAAAATATGGTTAGCAGCCAGGCCAGTGAAGCCCCTGGCACTCCATAGCTAGCTTGGCAGGTCTGACAGGGCCAAGCTCCTCCTGGTGACTGCTGCATCTGTCCTTTGGGGCACATCTTCTTGGTGTGGCATATCCTGGGGTCCCAGTGCTCTGCAGGAGACTGGCCATGCCGGGACTGCTTCAGAGATCATCTTCTTGGCCTCCCTCTTCTCATAGTCCTGTTATCTACAAGGGGTTTGAGGATTTGCCAGGTTCAGCCAAGCTGCTTTCTTTTTCCCTGTCTCGAGTTGCCAAAACACAGGATGCTTCTTCTCAAAGTCATCTTATAGGCTTCCCTCTGCTCACTTTATCTCTGGTTATGCTGGCCACAGCCTCACCAATTGGCCAGAGGAAACTCTGGAAAGGAACTCAAGCAGGGCTCCCAAGAGGCCTCCAGGTTCTCAAACAGGGTTGGATCTCCATTCCAATCTACCAGTCTGAGTCGGGTTTGGCATTCCTCCCACCACCAGAGCAGAAAACAACTACCTGACATCACAAATGAATGACATGGGTCCAGAAAGTCTGCCATCTCCAGCACAGTCCAGTGCCAGGCACACAGGAGATGCTCTCTCATTTCTTCATTTGTCCACTGATTGCTAGCCCTGTGCTAGCTGCTAGGAAAACGAGTTGCAGCCCTAGAAGAATTTTGTTCAGTGGGGAAGACACACTTTTTGCCATATTCCAGACAGGTAATGGCAGCCACTCAAGAGTTGAGGAACAGGAACATGCATTGCTTTAGCGGGGACAGACGTTTGTTCATGTCTCTGCCAGGGTGGAACTTCCTGTTCCAGACTGCCAGGGTCACACATTATATTCTACTGATTGTCCATCTCGGCCCACTTCTGCAGCCACCATCTGACCTAGATCTTGAGCTAGTGGGGCAGAAAGCTGGGCGGCCATGTGTGGGCAATGCTCCCTCTGGAGAATCCAGCCCAGTCCCCCTGCTTCAAGATCCTGTGCAGCATCAGTTCTAACAAACATGGTCACAGTCTGCAGGTGTGTTGCGCATTGTGAGAGGGCTGGGGCTTTCAGAAAAACCCCTCACCAGGACCCAGACCCTCATCTACTTCCAAAAAAGGGCCAGTGTCCTCTGTGTCTACGGCCTCTTCATCATTCCTATTAAAGCTCAGCTGCAGCCATTTGTTACTCCATGCCAGACATCAGGCTAAGTGCTGGGGACTTAGTGAAGTCTATAAGCTGATCCAGGGATTTTTGCTGGAATACTATTTGCTATGGAGGAATAGATACTGAGAAAAGGCTCTCCCTCAGACACTGACTGCTGGCCAGCAACAGGCCCTGCAGGTCTGCTGATTTTATAAAGACCAGTTTAGTGGAAGGAGTACAGACTTCGGAGTTCAAATCCTGGCTCTCCCACTTAGTAAGTGCATGATGTTCAGTAAATTACTCAAGTCCTCTGAGTTCACAATTTCTATTTGTAGATGGGGCAACAATTCCTACCGTGTCCTGAGAACTAAATGTTAGGCATAAAGGGATGGCACAGCCCCTAGGTAAAGATGTTAGGGAATATTAGTCCCCTCCCTGCTTCCTATCTTCTTCCTTTGCCATTTGGACATCAGGGTGTCACCCTTACTCCTTACCCTTGGCCCTGCCTACCTTCTCCACACCCCCCACACGCCCTGCTCCATGAGAGCTACACAAGTTAGTTTTATCAGGATTCCAATACTGGGTGTTTTCCTTTGCGTGAGAGAAATACAACCTCCCCTCCTTGTCTGACAATCTCATATTTAACTGTATACAAAAATGATAGTTTTTTTTAACAACAACAAAAAAACAAATCCAGGCAGAAGCATCTCCATGCTCACTCTGGCTTGCTAATAAACAGCCCAACATGGGGCAGTGGGATAAGTCCAGGCCTGGGGGTCGGAAATGAGCTGGAATTCCAGCTCTGCCTTTCATTAGCAACATGACCCTGAGCAAGTCACTGCCCTTCTGAGTCTCAGGTGCCCTTTGATGTACAAGTTTTGGTATCATTACTCACTGTGCTTAGTTAGGGCTCCTCTTAAGTCTCCTCTTCCCTGGTTCTCAGCAGTCTCTCTAGCAGGAAGCTGCCCAGGGGAGCAGAGCTCATGGACACCCCCAGGCAGGCCAGGGGGTGTCCATGGGCTACACAAAAGCTTAGGAAAGAACGTAAGACAGGAAGAATGGCCAAGTGGAAGAAGAAGATAAAAAGATAGACATGGGTGGTCCCTACCTGAAGGCAACTAGAAAAGGGGTATGAACCCCAAGGGGCATGGCATCTAAGATCTTCTGCACCCTTCACCTTCCCAAGCCAGGGCGAAGTCTGGCCAAGCAGGGGTCCCACCCTTTCTTCCCTCTGTCTGGCCTCCTGCATCTCCTCATCTTGGGTCTGCACTCTGGCAATCCATCTTTTGAGGCCATGTGGCTGCCCCCTCGTCCATAGCATCGAGGATCTCAGGAGGGACGGGGCTAGAGAGGGAAGGAAGAAGGCTGGTTTGGGATTCAGACAGACACAGGTTTCAAGATTTGGCTCTTCTAGGCTATATGACCTTGGGACAGTCAGTTAACCTAAAGGAACAGTTTTTCCCACATCCACATTATGGTGGAATTTTACCGCTGGTCTGTCTTCTTCTGACTGGTCTACCCCAGTACGGTCACAAACATAACCTAAGACTCTGCCTACTCTTCCTAGGATCTTCCCCTTCTCCCTTTTGTTGAAGAACACCTAGGAGCCCCCAGCCCCTGCTCTTCATAGAGTCACTGAGTTTATATCCACTTGCTTTCGGTCCAACGGCGGTATTAGAAAACTGTTCCAGTAAAGGGACTCCAAATTCCAGCCTTCTTTTTCTCAGGAAAGGAGATTATTACCTCCCAACCCCTTCCTCCCAGGCAGCAGGAAGCACAGGTTTCTTTCCCATGAGTCTAAGAGCGTGGATGCGGACTCCCAGGTGGAGCCATCACAGAATCATGCCAGCAGCTGCCAGCAGGGCCCCAGGGGAAGCTCAGAGCAGGAGGGCTCAGGACTGGGCTGCAGAAGGGCTAAAAAATAAAATGTCTCTAGGATCCTCGCTGCCTCCTGTCTCCACTCTGGAGGCTTTAGCATGTCAGGAGCAAGTTGGCCGTTCAGTGGGGGTTCAGAGAGTAGAGGAGGCCAGAGGTACTGCAAGGAAGAGGGAACGGCAGAGCTGAGCTGAAGAACCAGCTGCAGTTGAGGGGGGTAGTTCACAGAACCCTCCACTGCCCGGCCCAGCTAGTACAGGGGGATGTTGTCACCTGTCTGCTCTGACAACCTGGAGCTGCATTCCTCTGCCCCTGTCCTTGCACTGAGGACTCGGCTGAGCCAGTAGTCGAGGCCTACTCTGGTCCACAGCTCTGGCTGGGCTACCAGCTTCTTCTCTCTTCAAGAAGTCCTCTGAGCCAGCTCCCTGGTCCCTGTCTCCCTCCCCCAAAGCAGGGTAAGGTTTTCTCAGTATTTGACCCTCCAAAGCAAGGCTGGGCCAACAGCCTCGCATGCGTTTCACTGATCCTGGCCTGGAGGCAGAACAGGCAGGAAGGGGCTCTACTGACGCAGAACCTCCCCTGCTCCATCCTTTCTGCCCTAGACCCCTGGAGCCCCTGACCTCAACAGGACCCAGGTGGCTGCATCCAGCTGGCCCCCATCCCAGTCGAGCTCCAAGAGACT